GCCAAGAACTGAAAGGGCTCTGGGATTGATGCACACTGGCAGGGAGTGCCTTGGGCAAAGCTTGCACTGCTGTGGCCTGCGTTGTACCTATGCTGTCACTAGTGAGAGGATGAGAGAGTTTCCACCAGGGCTGTTAAGCAGGCACGTTTCCCCAGTGTGACATTCACTTACCCATGCAATGCAGATTATCCTGCACCGAACCACAACAAACAGCATGCAAAGAGTTAACAGTCATTGTGTAGCAAGCTTCCTATGCAGAAGCAAGATCAGAGGGTGGGAGGCATGCGATCTATATCAGGCTCCATCTGGTCCACCCCTAGAGTCCTATAGAGTCTTTTCTCCACAGTATTGTCCTGCGGCGCCTAGGGTATGTCTACACAGCACTGTAAGCCCAGGATTTGAACTCAGGCTCAAGCCTAATCCCCCTTCCGTCTACACACAAATCTCAGGGCTTGGACCCAGGGTCCCAGGACCCCATGGGGGAGGAGGGTCCAAGCCTGAATCAAGCCAGGACTCAGGGTTCAAGCCCTATTGCACTGCAGTATAGACTCATGCTCTGGGGGTCCTCCAAAAGTATCTCACAATCCCATGGGCCGACTTTCTTTGTCCTCCGGACAGTCAAGTTTGGTGGACAGTTAAGTTTTCCCAAACTGCACCATGAACAAAGGGCTAGAGTGGCCACCTTTTGGGAGGGCGCTAGGAAGTCTGGGAGATGAGTGGCTGGACTTGAGCCCCCATAATGCAGTGTAGACGCTGGAGCTACAGGTTCAACAATTCCTGCGCTCAAGCCCTGGGTTTGCTAACTCGAGATCTACTAACCCTGGGCTTACACGGCAGTGTAGACATACCCTGAGATACCTTGGCGATAAGTCTGGTCCTGTATCATTCAAATCAATGGGAATGTGGTCTTTGACTTCAATGGGTGCATAAACATCTGGAGAGAGGGATAGATTTGGCCAATCTAGTTTTAGATACATCATTCAGTCCTTTCTTTCTATCCCAGCCATTGGTGGTTTCTGCTTTCTCCCCTGGGCAGTTCATTGTCTCTTTTGTTTGTGTAAGATGGCCTTTTGTGCCTCCTCTCTAGTTATTTATCATTATCATGACAGACACCACCAGCACATCCCATTCCGGGGAGCTTCTGGTTCAGGAAAGCATCTGATCTTGTTATAGCAATAAAATAAAAACCAGCAGAATCTTATTAAAGGGGAAAAGGAAAAATGCCATGTTTATTGTGAAGACAGAAAGAATCATAGTAAGCAGTTAGTTATAGCTATAACATTCCATTCAATCTCATATTTATTCACACATTCATTCACACACACACACAGGTTCTGCAAGGTTGTTATCATAGTTATCAGCCTTAGAGTTGCTTATGCCAAGCCACTGGCTAGGTGGCCTGGACATGAGGAGGGAGCAGGGCCTTGTCAGATGCTCATCTGATGCTCCTGGAAGTTGGTTTGCAGAATCAGACCCCAAAGTTCTCACTTTCTAGAGTCCATTTTTGTAGGAATTTCTTCCTATGCCAGTCTATGGGAATTGCTTCGTCATGCTGTTGCTGAATCAATCAGTAGATAGCACATTCCTGACGGATCCATGCTGTGTGTAGTTGCTGGTGAGAATATGCTTCGGGTTGGCGGGTTGTCTGTGGGCGAGGACTGGCCTGCCTCCCAAGGCCTGTGAAAGTGGGGGACTGTTGTCCAGGATGGGTTGTAGATCACGGATGATGCGTTGGAGAGGTTTTAGCTGAGGACTGTATGTGATGGCCAGTGGAGTTCTGTTGGTTTCTTTCTTGGGCTTGTCTTGCAGCAGGAGGCTTCTGGGTACACGTCTGGCTCTGTTGATCTGTTTCCTTATTTCCTCGTGTGGGTATCGTAGTTTTGAGAATGCTTGGTGAAGATCTTGTAGGTGTTGGTCTCTGTCTGAGGGGTTAGAGCAAATGCGGTTGTACCTCAGTGCTTGGCTGTAGACAATGGATCGTGTGGTGTGTCTGGGATGGAAGCTGGAGGCATGAAGGTAGGCATAGCGGTCGGTGGGGTGGTGTTAACATGACCATCACTTCCTAGACACCAGAAGCTTCCACCCCAGACATGCATCCAACCTGAAGCATATTCTCACTGGCAATGACACACCGCACCATAGTAACTCTAACTCAGGAACCAATCCATGCAACAAACCTCGATGCCAACTCTGCCCACATATCTACACCAGCAACACCATCACAGGACCTAACCAGATCAGCCACACCATCACCGGTTCATTCACCTGCACGTCCACCAATATCATCTATACCATCATGTACCAGCAATGCCCGTCTGCTATGTACGTCGGGCAAACTGGACAGTCCCTACGTAAAAGGATAAATGGACACAAGTCAGATATTAGGAATGGCAATATACAAAAACCTGTAGGAGAACACTTCAACCTCCCTGGACACACAATAGCAGATTTAAAGGCAGCCGTCCTGCAGCAGAAAAACTTCAGGACCAGACTTCAAAGAGAAACTGAGCTTCAGTTCATTTGCAAGTTGGACACCATCAGCTCAGGATGAAACACAGACTGTGACTGGCTCACCAACAACAAAAGCTGTTTCTCCTCCTGTGGTGTTCACACCTCCACTGCTAGAAGAGGGCCTCATCCTCCCTGATGGAACCAACCTCGTTATCCCTGGCCTGATTCTTGCTTGCATATTTATACCTGCCTCTGGAAATTTCCACTACATGCATCTGACGAAGTGGGTATTCACCCACGAAAGCTTTTGTGCCAATACGTCTGTTAGTCTCTAAGGTGCCACCGGACTCTTTGCTGCTTTTATCTGTGCGTGTGTCCGAGAGACTGACAGAGAATACTTGACCCTAGAGGGTCAGAGTGTGCTGGGAGGAGAGTGTGGAGCAACATTTTCTTTTCTTTAGATGGTAATAAAATGTTCAGTGCTTCATGATCTCCTGCCCCTGGCTTGGGCGTGGCTCCGGCCTGTTGGTGTGACTGATTTATTAAACGTTGTTACTCCAGGTAGAGCTGGTAGCTGTGGACTAATAGCGTGTGAGCATGAGCACAGTGTTAAAACCTGTATCATAATGCAGACGCACCGGGGGGCCAAATTAAGGCTGCACAAGCAACTTTGGGGTGCTTGACTTTGCACCTTAAAATTCTTTTAATGTCTTTTTCTTTTGTAGGTAACTTATCGCTTATACTGCAGTACCGGCCAGACACCCCAGTAAAGATCAGGGTCCCATTGTGCTACACAGCTCTGGCTGTAACCCTGGCCTCTCGTTCTGTGTCATACACTGGGGGAATACGATGCTGCAATTGCTTTGGGGAGGGGTGGGATGCTTTTATTGGCCAGTTGTGCTATTGTTTATAGAAGGAATATATTCGTTTATGGAACTAATGACTATCATTGCTTTCATGCCCAGCTGCTTCTGCCAAAGGAGATCTTTATCCTTCTGTTCATCTAGCCCAGGGGTGGCCGACCTGGGGCTCTGAAGCCACATGCGACTCTTCAGACGTTAACATGCGGCTCCTTGTTTATTGGCACCGACTCCGCGGCTGGAGCTACAGGTGCCAACTTTCCAATGTGCCAGGGGGGGCTCACTGCTCAACCCCTGGCTCTGCCACAGGCCCTGCCCCCACTCCACCCCTTCCCGCCCCCTCCCCTAAGCCTGCCGTGCCCTCGCTCCTCCCCCCCCACAGAGCCTCCTGCATGCCACGAAACAGCTGATCAGGAGGTGCGGGGAGGGAGGGGAGGGTGCTGATCTGTGGGGCTGTCGGTGGGCGGAAGGTGTGGGGAGCTGATGAGGGGCCGGTGACGTATTACTGTGGCTCTTTGGCAATGTACATTGGTATATTCTGGTTCTTTCTCAGGCTCAAGTTGGTCACCCCGATCCATACCCGTGATATTTATTAAAGCAGGCCCTCTACAGGCCTAACTTTCAACCTTTTTTCATTGGTGGACCCTGGGAAAAAGTTGAATGGAACTCCCTTTGGAAATCTTAGACCACTGGCCTAACAAAAATGCCATCAGGAGCCGTTGCCACCATTATGGAGGAATTAACTCGTTTGCTCCCAGGCTCTAAAGAAGTGACCTGCCGTGGTGCATACTTGAAGCATAGACTGATGAGGAGGTACTCATGTACCACACCTGGATCGGTGCATGAGGCGAAAGGGTTCTTGGCCTTGCGCTAGGCAACATGTCTGTTAATGACCCGGAAGAAAACAGAAAATCATCCCTGATAAAGTTTGCAGACGACACAAAAATCGGGGGAGTGGTAAGTAATGAAGAAGACTGGTCACTGCTACCGAGCGATCTGGATTGCTTGGCGATTGGGGCACAAGCACACAATATGCATTTTAATATGGCTAACTGTAAAGGATCTGTTCTAGGCATTATTTTAGGGCAGTTCTCTGGCCTGTGTTATGCAGGAGGTCAGCCTCGATGATCTCAGTGGTCCTTTCTGACTTGGGAATGTATGTCCTAGTTAGGTCCAGGCAGAAGGCGACTGCCACGCTGCTCACTGCCCTGGTTACATCCTGTCCGGCTGCCCCTGTATGACTGAAGTGTGCAGGCAGAGCGCTCCTGCTACGGAGGAGAATCTCTCCACGTGCACCCTAACGCTCTGTGGATTTCAGTGAAATGCTGAGGAATGAGAGCAGCCCAGCAGGTGTGGTAAACAGCCAGCAGTGAAAAAGTTAATTGCGTAACCAGTTGTCATTTTGACGAGAACACTGGCCTCTTCCACAGAAACGTGCAGATTTCAACCTTACTGTTGTGTATGGACAGGAAAGTACAGAGCGTCCCTAGGTCATTTCCTACTAAATATGAATTATCGCATTTCTGATTTTAAGGGGCTGGGCTGCGGAGCAAAGGCAGAGCCCCCGCAACCGGGTTTAGCATAACCCCTCCTCCCTGCCGTCTCCGCCCTTTCCACATCTGACTTTCCCCTCAGCTTAAACCACATAGGCTCAGCCCAGGAGATAAAAAGGAAACCGGAGAGGCAGTTCTTCCTTTTGCAGATACAGTCAACTCTCCCGCAGAACTACAGAGCCCAAACCTTGTTACTCGGCTTTATGTGGAATACGGGCCCCAGAAAAGGACGTGTGAATGCAGCAGGCTTTTCCACCTCAGGCAACATCATATGACACCAACTGGATGGTAAAAATCAATCGATCAAAATAATCAAAGAACCAGGACAAGAAAAGAGCCAAAGCTGGTGACATTGGACAGATCTACCTTTGAGAAGGTTGGTGGTCTTAGTTCCCACCTGCTGCATTCACTTTGACTAGTACCCACAATTGTTGTGCCAATATAACTCACAGTTAGGGGGTGTGATTTTTACTGGTACAACTCCTTGTGTGGACACAGTTATATGGGTGTAAAGGTGCTTAGTGACCAGAGCACTAGACTGGGACCCAGGAGACCTGGTTTTGTCCTGCTGGGTGACCTTGGGCAAGTCATGTCACCTTCCTGTGCCTCAGTTTCTCCATCTGTAAAATGGGGATAATGATACTGACCTCTTTGTAAAGTGCTTTGAGATCTATGGATGAAAACTTCTACGTAAGAGCTAAGTATCCATATCGCTCATTCCCCTTCTCTATTATACGCGTATAACTATACTAGTATTAACACTTTTATACCCGTATAACTTGGTCCAAACTAGAGGGCTTGTACTTCTTTAACTATACCACTTAAAGCAGTACAACTTTTGCTTGAGGACAAGCCCAGGAAATCTTTAGAGCGTGTTTGACTGGTCTGGCTTCTGCTCTTGCGGTCACTGGTTTGCTCTTGAATGAATATTGATTGTGTAACACAGGCAAGGGGCCTAAGTCACCACTGTTACTCCACTTTTATGCTGATGTAACTGCTGAAATCACTAGCTGGATTTACACTAATGTAAAGGTGGAGAAATGCAGTGGGGAATCAGACACAGGAAATCCAAGGAATTGTCTGAACAGTAACTGGAACCAAAATAAGAGGGCTCTACTTTGATATAACTTAAATCATTAAAAATCAGCTTAAAATTATACATAAATCAGATGTTCTTATTTTTCAGTATCATAGAATATCAGGGCTGGAAGGGACCTCAGGAGGTCATCTAGTCCAACCTGCTGCTCAAAGCAGGACCACTCCCTGATTTTTGCCCCGATCCCTAAATGGCCCCCTGAAGGATTGAACTCACAACCCTAGGTTTATCAGGCCAATGCTCAAACCACTGAGCTATCCCTCCCCCCTAAATAAGTGTCCCCACACACACTTCCACTGAAGATGTGAATTACAACCCATTTAGTTATTTTAGTTTTAGTTACCTTGTAAACAAGCCCCAAGACCAAAATCTGACGGTATTAGAATAGGTTTTCCTTCAGCGTTAGATGGTGAATTATCTTTCCAGGAACAATAGTTTTTTTAAATTAAATCTAAGAGCATGTACCATGGATATTAACAGGTTTCAGAGCAGCAGCCGTGTTAGTCTGTCTTCGCAAAAAGAAAAGGAGGACTTGTGGCACCTTAGAGACTAACCAATTTATTTGAGCATAAGCTTTCGTGAGCTACAGCTCACTTCATCGGTGGAAAATGAATGCATCCGATGAAGTGAGCTGTAGCTTACGAAAGCTTACGCTCAAATAAATTTGTTTGTCTCGAAGGTGCCACAAGTCCTCCTGTTCTTTTCATGGATATTAAGTGACTCACTGATGGCTTTTTCTTAGGAAAGATGCTCTCACAGAAAATCTTGTAGTTGCCAACTCTGCCACAGCTTCCCTGTTTGACACTGGGCAAGTCATTTAGGCCACGTGTACACCTACAACAGCACAGTTGCGGTGTTGCAGCTGTAGTACAGACACTTCGTACATCGACAATCGGGGCTTTTCCATCAATGCAGTTAATCCACTTGTCCCAGGGGCGGTAGCTCGCTCGATCTTCCGTCAACCTAGTTGCACCTGTACCAGGGGTGACTCGACCTGTGTTGTTGAGGGTACACTGTTTTTCATAACCCTGGGGGTATTCAGGTGCCTAATGCCTATTGATTTCAAATACCTGTGAGGATCAGGGCCTTAATTTCTCCATGCCTCAGCGCCGAGCTGTAAAATGGGGATAATACTTTGTCTTGTCTAGATAGATCTATGGGGCAGTGACTGTCTCTTGCTATGAATCTGTACAGCTTCTAGTACAATGGGGCCCCAGCACCCCCATCCTTCCCCAGCCCTCAACTGGGCCTTGCATCCTGAGCCCTCAGCAACCCCCCCATCTTCCCCCTGCCCCCCAACTGGCCCTACGCCCCAACCCCCCCATCTTCCCCCTGCACCCCAACTGGCCCTACGCCCCAACATCTTCCCCCTGCCCCGCAACTGGCCCTACGCCCAAACCCCCCATCTTCCCCCTGCCCCCCAACTGGCCCTACGCCCCAACATCTTCCCCCTGCCCCCCAACTGGCCCTACGCCCCACCCCCATCTTCCCCCTCCTGCTTCCCCCTCCCCCCCAACTGGCCCTACGCCCCAACCCCCCATCTTCCCCCCTGCCCCCCAACAGCCCTACCCCCCCCCCCCATCTTCCCCCTGCCCCCCACACGCCCACACCCCAACCCCTGGCCCCCCTCCAACTAGCCCACCCCAACCCCCATCTTCCCCCTACCCCCCAACTGGCCCTACGCCCCAACCCCCCGTCATGCCCCTGGCCCCAGCCGGGCCCCCCAGGCGGCGCTGTCTCTTTAACACGCTCCCCACCCCCGCCAGGCCGGGCGGACTGTACCAAGCGGGGCCGCGGGGGGCGGGTGTCAGCGCCGCTCCGGGAGGAGGCCGCGGGGGGCGGCGGCGGCTCGGGGGTCGCGCTGAGGTCGCGGCTGCTCCGGGGTCCGGGCGGCGGCGGCGCAGGAGGCCCCGGTGGCGGGGCCAGGCCCTCACCCCCACGTCCCGAGGTGGTAGGTGCCGCCGTACGTGCCGGCCGGGCTGTGCTGGGCCCGGCTGCAGCCGCTGAGGAGGAGCCGCCAGGTGGGTGCGGGGCTGGAGCCGGGACTCCTGGGTTCTTTCCCCAGCGCGGGGGGTCTGGTGGGGTACATGGGGGCTGGAGCCGGGACTCCTGGGTTCTTTCCCCAGCGCGGGGGGTTGGTGGGGGGGGTCTGGTGGGGTACATGGGGGCTGGAGCCGGGACTCCTGGGTTCTTTCCCCAGCGCGGGGGTCTGGTGGGGTACATGGGGGCTGGAGCCGGGACTCCTGGGTTCTTTCCCCAGCGCGGGGGTCTGGTGGGGTACATGGGGGCTGGAGCCGGGACTCCTGGGTTCTTTCCCCAGCGCGGGGGGTCTGGTGGGGTACATGGGGGCTGGAGCCGGGACTCCTGGGTTCTTTCCCCAGCGCGGGGGTCTGGTGGGGTACATGGGGGCTGGAGCCGGGACTCCTGGGTTCTTTCCCCAGCGCGGGGGGTCTGGTGGGGTACATGGGGGCTGGAGCCGGGACTCCTGGGTTCTTTCCCAGCGCGGGGGTCTGGTGGGGTACATGGGGGCTTGGAGCCGGGACTCCTGGGTTCTTTCCCCAGCGCGGGGGTCTGGTGGGGTACATGGGGGCTGGAGCCGGGACTCCTGGGTTCTTTCCCCAGCGCGGGGGTCTGGTGGGGTACATGGGGGCTGGAGCCGGGACTCCTGGGTTCTTTCCCCAGCGCGGGGTCTGGTGGGGTACATGGGGGCTGGAGCCGGGACTCCTGGGTTCTTTCCCCAGCGCGGGGGTCTGGTGGGGTACATGGGGGCTGGAGCCGGGACTCCTGGGTTCTTTCCCCAGCGCGGGGGTCTGGTGGGGTACATGGGGGCTGGGCCGGGACTCCTGGGTTCTTTCCCCAGCGCGGGGGTCTGGTGGGGTACATGGGGGCTGGAGCCGGACTCCTGGGTTCTTTCCCCAGCGCGGGGGTCTGGTGGGGTACATGGGGGCTGGAGCCGGGACTCCTGGGTTCTTTCCCCAGCTGGGGGGGGGTCTGGTGGGGTACATGGGGGCTGGAGCCGGGACTCCTGGGTTCTTTCCCCAGCGCGGGGGGTCTGGTGGGGTACATGGGGGCTTGGAGCCGGGACTCCTGGGTTCTTTCCCCAGCGGGGGGTCTGGTGGGGTACATGGGGGCTTGGAGCCGGGACTCCTGGGTTCTTTCCCCAGCGCGGGGGTCTGGTGGGGTACATGGGGGCCGGGCCGGACTCCTGGGTTCTTTCCCCGGGGGGTGGGGCATGGGGGCCTGGAGCCGGGACTCCTGGGTTCTTTCCCCAGCGCGGGGGGTCTGGTGGGGTACATGGGGGCCTGGAGCCGGGACTCCTGGGTTCTTTCCCCAGCGCGGGGGTCTGGTGGGGTACATGGGGGCCTGGAGCCGGGACTCCTGGGTTCTTTCCCCAGCGCGGGGGGTCTGGTGGGGTACATGGGGGCTGGAGCCGGGACTCCTGGGTTCTTTCCCCAGCGCGGGGGGGGTACATGGGGGGTGGGGGGGGGCCCCGGGGGGGGTCCCCCCCGAGGGGGGGTCTGGTGGGGTACATGGGGGCTGGAGCCGGGACTCCTGGGTTCTTTCCCCAGCGCGGGGGGTCTGGTGGGGTACATGGGGGCCTGGAGCCGGGACTCCTGGGTTCTTTCCCCAGCGCGGGGGGTCTGGTGGGGTACATGGGGGCTGGAGCCGGGACTTCTGGGTTCTTTCCCCAGCGCGGGGGGTCTGGTGGGGTACATGGGGGCCTGGAGCCGGGACTCTTTTCCCCACCGGGGGTGGGGTTGGGGGCTGAGGGGATTCTGGTCCCCAGCGGGGGGTCTGGTGGGGTACATGGGGGCCTGGAGCCGGGACTCCTGGGTTCTTTTCCCGCGGGGGGGGGTGGGGGGGGGGGGGTCTATTGGGTGAGAGCAGCGGGGGCTGGGAGCCAGGACTCCTGGGTTCTTTCCCCAGTGCTGGGAGGGGGGTTTAGTGGGGTACATAGGGGGCTGGGAGCCAGGACTCCGAGGTTCTCCGCTTGCTTGGGGAGGGGAGTGTGTGCGTGGGGTCTAGTGGGTTAGAGCAGTGTGGGGAGGGAAGGGGATTGGGAGCCAGGACTCCTGGGTTCTTTCCCCACCACTGGGTGGGGAGCGGGGTGTAGTGGATTCAGGCAGGGGAGCCAGAGCTCCTAGGTTCTGTTTCGGGTTCTGGTGGGTTTGAGCCAGGGAACCAGGACTCCGGATTCTGTCCGTGGCTCTGTCTGAATGCTGGCAGAAGTGTCTCAGAGCTGTGTGGCTCCTGGTGCTGGGTAGCCTGTCTGCCATGTGCCCCATAGAAGAGCTGGGTGAAACTTTTTAGATGAACAGTTCATTTGTTGGAAAGTGCCGGTTTTAATTGACCTGAAACTACTGGCAAATTCGACAGGGGTCTGTCAAAAATGCAGTTTGGTCAGAAGGAGAAAGACAGGCTAGCGTCACAAATAATTGGGGAGGAGGTGATGGGGGGTCATGCCCCTGGCCACCTTTTATTGTGGGACCCTGGCTCAGATCCCCGTTCTGCAGCAGGGATTTGAGACCAAGTTTCTTCTCTCCCAGGTGAATGCCCTAACCACAAAGCTATAGGCTCTGCCTTTCTTGGTCTCACCTGTTGAAGCTGGTTCACTCTGTATACATAACTAAATATTCATCGGCGCAGGGCCTGGAACCCAGGTCTCCCTGGTGAGGGCCCTAATCACCAGGCTGTAGAGTCCTCCTCGCACTCTATTTCTGGCCCAGTGACTGTTCAAGAATTTTAAACCAAAATGGAACAGCTTCAACAGGAGAGCTGGAGGAGACCTGGCCCAGAATGCCCTAGAGCCTGGTGGCAGGCTCTGCACTCCAGCGATGTCTGTTCCCGTCCAGCTTCTGTGCTGGGGTAGAACTCTGACTTGGCTATTAAAACTCCAAACTCCTGTGTTATCTCCGCAGGTGTTTTTCTCGCCATGTAGGCAGCTTGGCCTGGGAAATCTTTTTCCGTCTTTCAAATATCTGTAGACAAAGGGACATCGCTAGGAGTGGTGGGGTGAAGTTTAAAAAAAACAAAATAAAAATGTAGGTTTCATAGACTGAAGAAAAATCTCCCCAAAGAAGGTGGTGGAGAGTTAAAACTGGTGGGACGAGCTGCAGGGAACATAATGACCAAGATTAACCAGGGGAGTTTATCAGGTTTCCTCATTCATAGGAATAAGTGACCCATCCTGCGGCACTTAGACTGGGTTTTGGCCAAACATTTTTATGTAACCTTGGTTGAAAGAGGCTATTGAAGCTAAAATAAGCCATTGGAAGAGTGGACCAGATATAGAGAGGAGGACTCCTTGGACAGTTTGTTCATTTCATCTGAAGAGGATGAATTATTGTATCATTAAGAAAAGGAGTACTTGTGGCACCTTAGAGACTAACCAATTTATTTGAGCATGAGCTTTCGTGAGCTACAGCTCACTTCATCACTACATCTGATGAAGTGAGCTGTAGCTCACGAAAGCTCATGTTCAAATAAATTGGTTAGTCTCTAAGGTGCCACAAGTACTCCTTTTCTTTTTGCAAATACAGACTAACACGGCTGTTCCTCTGAAACCTGTTATTGTATCATTGACATTCTTTTGCACGTTCATCTTTCTGATTTTTTTAAAATCCGAGTTTGTTCAGCAGTTAACTTGCAGGCCAGAAGCCAAAAAGAACTGAAGCTCCTTCAATCCAGTCACTTAAAATTTTTCCCAGTTCTGAATATGAAATGACAATATTTTTACTTGTATGGAGCCTTCAACTTCAAAATGTGTCAAACTTGATGCGCGCTTCGTAGTGGTCGCTTCATCCACTGCTGAAATGTAGCCACCCCGGAGTGAAATAGAGTAACTGGTGTCAATAATGCACACTGTCACTGCAACAGGTCAGACTTGGAATTAGGGCATACCTTTGCCCTGTTGAAATGCCCTGTTTGCACCATGCTGGGGCATTCATTCAGAGGGAAGAGCACCACCTACTGGATTGCAATACCACTTTTTCATTCATTTAATTGGCAGTCTTTCATCCGTGTACTACAGTAGTAATAGGTTTAACTGCAGATCTTCTGCCGTGATAGCTGAGGGTGGAATGGGTGCAGAATTCCACAGCTCTTCTTCTTCTTTTTTTTTTTTTGGACAGGTCTGTTCTGTGCCTGTAAGGCTGTATTTATCTATCTGTGAGGGCAATAGCAAGACTGCATGAATAGGTTTTTTGTTTTTCCTTCAGGCCCTCAAATGTGTATTTTGAACATTCAAGTCCTCCTGAATGTGTTTAAAAACAACAACAAACAGAGCCTCTCTTTGTAATTTGTGTGGTTCCATTAATAACTTGAAATGTGCTTTGAGAAGCTATTAACTAAGCCAGCTATTAGGGGAGGATCTGGCCAAACTAGTTGTTTACATATATTCTCATTGGTAGGAGCGAAACACCATGGTTCTATAACAAAAGCAAATAAACTCTTCCAATCTCATTTGTTTATACTAAGCTTACCTGTTTTAAAGTACAAAATTTGAACAATAGGTGGAAAAAATTTGAGACTATTGGGCTTTGTAAGTTGGCATCTCTTTAAGCAATTGACCTGTACTTATAGTAATTTCATTTATAGAGCAGTCTGTTACTGAATAATCATTCTCACTTTTCCTCTGTTGTTCGTTTGATCCGTTTCCCCTGTTTGTGGGGATCTTTTATACCGCAACAGGAATGAGAAAAAAAGTTAGAAGCAGGAGAACTTGCTTGTGAAAACCACCAAAACGATTGGGGCCCTCAGAGGCAGCTGTAAGACCTAAATGACTTTTAACCTTCTTCTTCTTCTTTATTAAACTGATTGGAGTTCAGATTAACAGTGCCCTTTGAACTTCAGACGTGAATGAAGCAAATTTGCTTCATAAGTTACAGATAAAGAGTAACTATAGAATTCCATAGGGTAATTTTTTAGTCAATCTTTTGCGTTGGTGTGATCTTCAGAGAATTGGAGTAATCTGTTACCTTGTTCAGTACCATACCCATCCTGGTCTCTCCCTTTTTCTCTTATATAAAAAACTACCAAGCGTTTATAGTTCTCTGATATAAAAAACTACATCCACCCTGATCGAATTGGCCCTGTCAACACTGGTTTTCCACTTGTGAGGTAACTCCCTTCTCTTCATGTGTCAGTATATTTATGTCTGTAACTTTCACTCCATGCATCTGAAGAAGTGAGGTTTTTACCCATGAAAGCTTATGCTGAAATAAATCTGTTAGTCTTTAAGGTGCCACTGGACTCCTTGTTGTTTTTGTGGATACAGACTAACATGGCTAACCCCTGATACTTGATACCAAGAGGATGTTATCTACCCTGGATGAACTTTGTTCTGCTTTCTTAACTAAAAAACCATGGTTAATATCTTACGTAAGTTGCTTTCCCAGTATAATTTGATCCTAGTGCTAGGATTACGCTTCACACCTTGTAAAAGGTGTGTCACATGTTCTACTGTATTGGTGCACCTATTCAAAAGATCAATATTTAAAGAGTCCTTAATAAGCTTAATTACCTACTCTATTATATGCAACATGGACAGTCTGAAATTTAATAATCTGTGATTACCTCTTTCTCAGTTAAACACAAAAATCCATTTGTGTGCTGCTTCTGGGCCATAGAACCTGCCGAAAGAAAACATTGAGCAAGAAGTCTTTGTAGTACTGAAGGCTACTCCTAAGAACCGTGACAGTCCAAAGTGACACACAGGGAAAGTTAGTTTGACTTTTAGCTGCGTATTATTTTAATGTTCTTGCTTGGTTAGCAACTAAGGGTGTTTTCCTAATTGTTTTTTTTTTTTAATGATACTTACATAGTTTCTTTGGAATATTCCACAGAGTACTAATAGCCTAATTTTCCTTTTACATTTGTACAGTGCCTGTACAGTTCTGAACATTTCGAAGCACTTTGCTAACAGGCCAACTTCATCACCTCTTGTGAGGCAGGTAAATATGTTTGTTTTACAAATCAGAAGAGGAAATGGATTGGAATTGTGTAGGGAAGTGAGTCATATTTTCAGCTCTGAAAATCTGGCCTTAATTAGGGGTGTTGAAATTTTTTAAAAAAATCTGGCTCTAAGTGCCATACTTAACTTGCTGTAAGTTGGTAGCAGAGCTGGAAATAGAAACCACTAGTCCTGGTTCTCACTTTTCTGCACTGACAGCCACACTATCTCTCATTATAATATCCAGATACCATGCAAGTCACTTCTAAAATGTAACTATTGATCACCTCTCATGCAACATGACTAGGATTTATTCCAGTTTCTAGTTAGACACTACTTTGGGGTATCAGCCTGGTAAAGTACAGGGTAGAATCATTGCACAAGTCATGATTATGTAATATTGGAGTGGCATATACGTAACTGTGTCAGGCAAACAATAGCCACTCACACTGAGACAAAGGAAAAACACTCCAATAATTCTCAAGTATACAAAGAGAAAACAAATACACGTGACATATTTCATGCTCACTAAACCCCAAATGTGAAGACTGTATCAGAGAGCACTGAATTAGAACTGTTCCCCCCCACCCCCCAATGTTTCCTGGTAAAATAAAACTTTCTAACTCAGACTCCTTAACCTTCAACAACTATCATGTGCATAGGGTGGCTGTATTTAAAAAAACAGGACTGGGAGTCTGGGGATCTGGGTTCTGTTTTGTGCTCTTCCACTGTAGTGCATGATATGGGCAAGACACAGCATCTTTGTTCTCTCTCATGTAAAATAATACTTCCCACCCTTGTGGGGGTGTTGAGACAAACATCTAATGGATGTGAAGTGCTTCGAAGAAATGGTGTGATAATATACTAGTGATGAAATCTTGGGTTTTAAAAAATCATACTGATATTTGCTACACTTTGGGTTAATAATACGTATTTGCAATTCTTTCACTTTTGCAGAATCTAAGCTTTCATTTAACATCATCCCTGCCCCTCCATCACCCAGACTCTCTTTGCTTTTTTTTTAAAGCACATATGGTTGCGAAGGAAACTGTCAAAATAAGAACCAAGGAACTCCTGCAGGGCTGTCTGCTTGATTGTGCAGCCAGACAGTTCTAGAGCCCTGGGTTCTGCTCAGTGCTTTGCCATGGGGCAGCAGAGTGAAAACTCAGTCTTGTCCCTTGTCAGGGCTGCTGCTGGAATCATTGGGAAATGGTGAAACTGACAAAAATTAGGTCAGTTTCCTTCTGCTGGTTGGGAAAGCTGAGAGCAGCAGAGGCAGACGCTGGAGTTGCTCACTGGGGAGCAGGATTTCCAGGCTGGGAACCTACCCTTGTAACAGCCAGGAAACAATGTGCTGAGAGAGAAGCCTCCTTACCAGAAGCCACAGTGTGAGGGATCATAGAATATCAGGGTTGGAAGGGACCTCAGGAGGTCATCTAGTCCAACCCCCTGCTCAAAGCAGGACCGATGGCCATCTAAATCATCCCAGCCAGGGCTTTGTCAAGCCTGACCTTAAAAACCTCTAAGGAAGGAGATTCCACCACCTTCCTAGGTAACGCATTCCAGTGTTTCACCACCCCCTTAGTGAAAAAGTTTTTCCTAATATCCAACCTAAACCTCCCCACTGATGATGAGGGCTTCACATTTATCAGACACTTAATGAATCCCCTGGCCAGTTCCGGTGGCTTTACAATCACCTGTTAATCAATGTATCTCTCCCCCCCCTCCCCCCTCGCTGTGTGAAAGGCCTGTTTCCCATTTGTGTGGATCAACTATGAATACAAGGGGACTCAGTGGAGACGACTGTGCACAAAGTGCTCTCAAATGCACACAGTAAAGAAATTGATGGAGGGAGAAGATACAGGGATTGTAGGTGTTGCTTGTAACATTTTCAGACAGGCGTATGATATGTAAATTGGCGGCATCCTTTTAATCATATCCAAGTCTCCAAACACAGCTACCTGCAGTTAAATTCTTGAACCCTCCACAATATTCAGATTTACATGGGGGCTCTTAAAATTCTGCTGCTTAAGCCTGTGCAGAGGTGTTGGCTGTGTAAACAGTGCCCCACAATACAGTGTGCAGGGTTGAAGTTAACCATCTCCTGACCTGTCTTGATACATGGATTTTTTTACAGTGTTGGTTTTGCCCTTTACCATGCTGCTGTTTACAATCTGAACTTGTTTTCCACTGGGAAATCAAACTGGTCAACGGTTTTGGTTGGAAGAGGGTATTCTCTTACCTTGTGCCCTCATTGTTTCAGTTTATCTAGGGATCAGAAACAAAAACATCCATGCTGACCCACGTTAATTGGTGTGTAAGTAACTGTGGAGTTCTTGGTAGGGCAGTTTGACACTGAGGCAAATACCTCACAATGGTTGGTGCTTAAAATCAAAAATAGTCAGGCTTTTCAAGGCTGGAAGCTTTCAGGGCTGTTGAAAACAGCTGTTCTCTAAGCTCACAGTAACAAATAACACCAAATTAAATACAAGAGGCTTCAAACTACAAAAATAAGTTAACCTGAATTGGCATGCAGCCCAAAGACACAATCTTTGTCAGCCCAAGGACAGAATTCTCTTCCTGTCCCTGTGAAACCATCCTCCTCTTTCTGATGCTCTGTCTTCTAGCTTTTACAATCATTCCGCTCTTCTCAAGTGAGAGCTGCAGCCAGTTTTTTTTTTTGTTTTTGGTTGGTAATGAAAGCCCAAATGTACCATGCTTGAAGCTGAGATCATGTTTAAAAAATCTGCTAGGAAGAAATACACACTGGCACAGATTCTATTCTAAGTACAGTCTTCATCCTGTGAGAGTTACAGCATCAAGATTTGATGAGAAGGGAATGCCTTGTTGAGTGGCTTTTTTGTTTACGTTTTGTACGTAAAAAAAATCCCTTCACAGTTATGCGTTATGCAACATGTTTTTTACTCCTACTTCACTTGCTCCTAGAGCCAAGCCGTCGGCTCAGATTGGGAATTCTGAGCTGTTGAAAATTGTCGAGAAACCAGTGTCTTGCAAGGGAAGACAACCACCATTACCGTTGCCTGGTGAGGCTGGACCTCATTGCTCCATGCCCTAATTTCCTGATCAGAAAAATAGTACCTCATCCTGGTTGTGAGGCTGAATCAGTGCTGCTTCCACAACACCTTCCGACCAAGGATAGAAGTGCCAAGCAGTGGTATTATAAACGTTTATGCAAAGCAAGAAGAGATTTATTTGAGCTTTTCCTCAAAACTCTTACATGAGGAACAGAAGATTTAAAAAAATCTAGCTCACATAAAAGCTGTGGAGTAGGTCAGTAGCGTTGCTGGGGGGGAGCGAGGGAGCGGCCGCTCCCCCACTGAGCACAGGTGGCGCCTTGTCAGTGTCTTGGCGCCTTCTAAATTTTCTCCTGCTGAGGGAACAGGAGGAGCGATCCAAAAAGCAAGGTGTCACCCGCTGCGGCCCTTTTACTCACCCGGCGGCACTCCGGGTCTTCGGTGGCACCTCGGCGGCGGGACCTTCACTCGCTCCGGGTCTTCGGTGGCACCTCGGCGGCGGGACCTTCACTCGCTCCGGGTCTTCGGTGGCACCTCGGCGGCGGGACCTTCACTCGCTCTGGGTCTTCGGTGGCACCTCGGCGGCGGGACCTTCACTCGCTCCGGGTCTTCGGTGGCACCTCGGCGGCGGGACCTTCACTCGCTCCGGGTCTTCGGTGGCACCTCGGCGGCGGGACCGTCGGTGCCACCGAAGACACCAGGAGCGAGCGATGGCCGGCCGCCGGAGCGCCGTGGGGTGAGTAAAAGTGCTGCAGCGGGTGGCGCCTCTTTTGTGGATCGCTCCCCCTGTTCCCTCCACCTGGCTACGCGGCTGGAGTAGGTGCCTGATCCTGGTTGGTGCTGAGCAATCCTAACTGACCTGGATTTCATCAAGAATTGATGGAACTGAACATCAGTCAGGGCTGGGTCTGAGTGCAGTGAAACGTTTGCAGTTAGGGTAGGAATTGGACTAGGACTGTGCTTTGTGTCTCTGACAGGATGGATCACAGAACCCCCCCGGGGGCTGCCAACTGATGTGCCAAGACTACTTCTGCCCCTGCTTTCCCTGCCAGCTTGGGACTCCAGCACCCTCTCTTGCTGAGCCAGACACGCCAGTCTGCTCCAACTCAGACCCAGGGTCTGAACCACGTGCCCCAAAGCTGCAGACTTAACTGAAAGCAACTTAAGAAGTGCTCCTGTCTTTAACACTTAGATCCCAACTGCCAATGGGGTCCAAACCCCAAATAAATCCGTTTTACCCTGTATAAAGCTTATGCAGGGTAAACTCCTAAATTGTTCACCCTCTATAACGCTGATAGAGAGATATGCACAGCTGTTTGACCCCCCCCCCCCCAGTATTAATACATACTCTGGTAGTAACAGACAGAACAAAGTGAATTACTGAGCAAAATAAAATAAAACATGCAAGTTTATGCCTAGTACAGTAATAAAACTGAATACAGATAAAATCTCACCCTCAGAGATGTTTCAATAAGTTTCTTTCACAGATTGGACACCTTCCTAGTCTGGGCACAATCCTTTCCCCTGGTACAGCCCTTGTTCCAGCTCAGGTGGTAGCTAGGGGATTTCACATGATGGCCGCCCCCTTTGTTCTATTCCACCCACTTATATATATCTTTTGCATAAGGCGGGAATCCTTTGTCCCTCTGAGAAGGAGGGTGGGAACCCAATGGAAAAGCTTAAAGATGGATTCCAGTTCAGGTGACATGATCACATGTCACTGTAAGACTTCGTTACTCACCTGTAAGGAATACTTACAGATAAAACAGAGCCATCTACAGTCAGTTGTCCTGGTTAATGGGAGCCATTAAGATTCCAGACCACTATTAATGGCGCACACTTTGCGTAACTACAATAGGACCTCAGAGTTATATTTCTCGTTTCAGATACAAGAGTGATACATTTATACAAATAGGATGACCACACTCAGTAGATTATAAGCTTTGTAGTGATACCTTACAAGAGA